TCTTCTTTGAAAATCGCGAAGTTTGTAAAATATAAATTTCGACAGTTCTCTTCCTCTCTTGGAAAAAAAAATTGAAAAATCGCACAATTTAGACTTTCCTCATAGATCATTACAAAATGAGCTAATGTGGCAAGAGAATTTGCAAATGTCTTAGTAAAAACTCGTCCAAATTCTTCCTTTGCATGAAGGCAAAGATTATGCGATGCTATGTGTACAAACATTATTTTCATTTTTAGAAAATGTAGTTCATTTATCTTAGCCAAGCTAAGAAAATTTCGGACAAGCGAAATTATTGAAAAAATTGCATCACAAGTGATAGTGAATGTCAGTCAAAATGATCAATTCATCGAGACATTTGTTTCGAAAATTTCCACAAAAAAATGATTTTTTCACTTTTTCTAATAGAAGATAAATCTTGCTCTTTCAACTTTATTTCTGAAAGAAAAGTTATTGTTAAGTATTTTTTGATAACTGGCAAACAACTTAAAAGGTCATTCAGATTTTCGTACGAATGGAGATTAGCAGAAAGAAAACTTAAGCAAATCGTACAGAATCTATGTTTTCTTAATATAAAATATTCAAGATCCTAGTTACCAAACTATATTTCATGTGAAAACACTGTAATTAAGACTACCAACCGTGATTTTCCTTTTCAAAGTATCTAACTCCAAACTGGATTTTGGTGATTATGTGCTTGTAGTTCATATTTCTCAATAAATTCTACATTCGCCACAGTCCAGCAGCAGATGAATTCTAACTATTCCACAAAGTCTTTCTCACCACTCAAGATTTATATCACATTTTCTATTTATCCAGGCTGATACAATCCTTTTCAGCATATATCTACGCCCTCTATCATTCCGGTAACTACGACCGATTATTTGAAGTTATTGGCCGCTCGCGATTTGATGAGCGATACTACAAGGAGCTGCAAGAAATCTGGTATAAAGCCAGATACAAAGAAGTAAGCACTTCGGCTTTGTTTGCGCAATTATAGCAAAAAATTCCTCTTCCTACTTCTACAGAACGAATCCAAACGAGGCAAGGAGCTCGGTGCTGTTGAAAAATATCGTCTTCGAAGGAAATATCCACCTCCGCGTAGTATTTGGGATGGTCAGGAGACAATCTATTCTTTCAAAGAAAATAGCAGAAAGTATTTGAAGCAATTTTACAAGCAAAATCAATACCCAACATTGGATCAAAAGAAAGAAATCTCTAGAGCGACTGATCTCGAGATTGTTCAGGTAATTTTCTACATGATATCTATAGTAGTTCCGTTGGAAAATTTTAGTTTTTAGATTTCCAACTGGTTCAAAAATCGCCGTCAGAGGGACAAAACGCGACTGGAATGTGCACATTATAGTCGCCCACAAATGATGCAGCTACAAACACTTGCCTATTCGAACCTTCCATTAAATATGAACATTAATATGCCCTATTCATGCAAAACAGAATAATTCTAAGAAATAAATATGTAATAAAAAAATTGGAGCATTATACTTTCGAATCCTTCGCAAGTGAAGCATGGTTTGAAAATTTGTACACTAGGGATCTAAATAAATCAAGGATAAGATAACAAATTCGTTTTTCTATATCAATTTATGCAACTATAAATGTGAAACAAAGCAAT